AAATAGGATGTGGCATTTCAATGTGTTTTCTGGAAAAATAGCTAACTTACATGGCAATCATCATAGAATCTATATAAAAGCATTCACTCTTACAGATTTTTACCTCGAAAATGAAGAAACAAAATATAGTGTAATAGAAATACATGTCAGAAGATTTGGATGCTAATTCCTCTTCCGATGGTTGTGTGACAACAATTTCTTTCACCTGAATGAACTTCCATTTCCTTATCTGAAAACTGAAGGGATTGGATTTGACTGGGGTCTCCGTTGCAATTTCCACAGGAGCCAGAAGCAGCCTGACCTTAAGATGATAAAGGTGTCTGATACTGGGACTCCTGACAGGGTGCTGAAGACTGTAATAAAATGGAGAGTGCAGGCCTCCTACTGGGGACAGTCAGCAACCAATAATTGTCTCCAGGTGGCAATGCAGACCCTCTATTGCCATGTTGCCAGATTTTTCAAGAAAATACAGAATTTCAGATTTTTATGTCAAATATTCTGGTTTTTAAATGTTGCCAACTAATTTAAAATAGAAAGAAAGAAAAAAAAAGACCACTGTGAAGGCCTAACTAAACATATGTGTGGGATGCAGCCTGTGGCCGCCATTTTGTGACCTCCAATTGGAAGCCTCCAGTCTCTCCCTGCTCTATGGTTCTACTGGAGGAGGAGGAGGAGGGTCATCTGGGGACCAGAGCACTAACTCTGTGCACAACTCTAATTAATCTTCTTTTCACTTGGTTTCATTAACATATGAATACAGTAGGGAATCACAGCAACCACAGCGAGTGGGATGCATGCACTTTTACAGAAAGACAGCACGTAAAATAAATGCTCTGAGTGCGTGGGTATCTTGATGAAATGGTAGAGCTGCAGTAGAGTCAATGAGGCCACCGCGCAGAGCAGCCGGAAGCTCAGCTTGTAGCGGTTTTCCCCTCGGCAGCTCTGAAGGAACATCTCCGAGTTGATTGCAAAGCCCAAGCCAAAGAAGACCCCAAGGTTTCTCACAAGTCCAGCAAAAGGTGTGGTGTCAATGTGGATCCAGTCGGGGTTGGCACACCACTTCTTGGCTACGGGCACAGACCACAGCAGGTCAATGTCAAGTAGTCTGAGAAGCAGGTAAAAGCCAAGTGCAAACAGGAAGAGGAAGAGATTGGTCTTCAAGTACGTGCTCAGGCTGGCTGTTTGGATGCCCGGAGTGTGTTCAAAGGCCTCTGCCACAAGCATACCTGGAGATTAGAAAGAGACACGGAAGATGACTATGTGCCCTTGAGCCCCTCGGGAATCATTCTTCTTTGAATTAAAGAATTAAGACATAGTTTTTAATGATAAAGGGCTTTAGACAAGTAGGTTCTATCCATTTTCCAAAGCCTTTTTTTTTAGGCAATAACTAAAAACACACACTTGCCCTGTGGTCTTTTTGCCAGCCATATTAGCATAGGCAGATCTTTCAGGAGTCCGTAACCTGAGTGACAACCCACTTTATAGGCAAGCCACTGATCTAGGTGCTTGCAGTTAATATTTCAATTGCCATAGCCAATTAACTTAGAGAGCCTTTGAAAGGTATGTGGGGCTGAACTGCAAAAACTCAATCCTGGTGATCGCCGCTACGGGAATACAAAACAGCTGTTAAATGAAGTCCATAGTCGTGTAATAATCACTCCAAGTGTTTCAGAGAGAGTGGCATGGTGTGCAGGTTGGAAGACCATTATTAAGTCCTCCAAGCCAAGACACAAGCAGGCTGTCTGAAGTGGTGGTTTGGGAGTTGGACTCAGCTCTAGACACACTTCAGAGAAGCCCATCTTACTAAGAGGTTATGCCTTAATGCTAACAAGTGAGACTGCCATTACGTACCTGGAGGATTTGAGAGGTGTGTTGAACAACTTACGCTCCCAAGGTAGCATTAAGTATCAGTGGCTTGACAAAATTACCTGAGATTGGGGAACTGATTACCAGGAAGAATCTGACAACATAAAACAAATGACACTAAAGCTTTCCAATGACACAACTAAAGGTAAGTGATCATATTTACCACCAATTACTCCAAGAATAACTTGATGAGGAAAATGTGTTGCTATGAATACTCTGGAGATGCAGACACTGATTTGAATCAACCAAAAAAGACTCCAAAGAAATGACCAGGTCAGTCTACGATGGAAGAATAGATACAAGCGTAAAAAGCAAAGAAATTGTATCACTCATAAAAATAGGGGGGTGACACCAGATGATTTTTCTCAGAGGAATCTTCTAGCTGTGACATAGCATCAGGATTCTAGAGTCTTTTTTTCGAAATGTTGTCTCCATGTGCTCCATAGAATTTGAAAAGCTTTAAGAGAAGTTTCTACATTTTTCAGTACATTAAGCTTAACCAGTGCCACATCCTGAGATTTTAATAAGCGCTGCAAAAGGAAGCCAATTTGACATCCTGATAATAATTTTAAAGATGTAGAGGAAATTCAAGTTTGGGGTAATTACTAATATCTAGAATCATCAAGAATGAATTGCATATATTTTTACTCCCTGTCGTATGTGCTTCCTCTTTACACTCCCCTCTCAACCTTTCTTTGCTTGAAGAAAACTTACTGGTGAGGCAGCTTCCACTCTGATGGAAAATGCACGAACACTCCATCAAAAGCAAGTTTCATTGGGTTTAATTTCACAGACTCTCAAGAGCCCTGGTTCCTTGTTTTTTGACATATAGAAAATAAGGAACAAGGGAATTGACCTATATGTTATATACTGTGGATTAGAAGCAGCAACGTGGAAAAAAACATTAAACTATTAAAATCCAAACAATGCTCATCATTTTAATAAAAAAGAATTAGCAATATTGAGTTCTAGGGATCCTTGGAGGTTCCGAATGTTTTGTTCCTGATAACCAGACCAAATTTTGGTTATTGAAAGATTAAGGAATAGAGAGAAATGAGACTTTCAAAGAGGCAGTAAGTTGGAGTTATCCATATGGAAGAACAATCAACAAAGATTTGGTGATATTAAGGCAGGGTGTAGGCACTCAATAAATTTTGATGGATGAAGTAAATGTTGCAGTTATAATAATTGAAAAAGAGTTGAGAAAAAAATTTTTTGGAAGAAACAAATATTTTTCCAGGTTTGGAAATCGGAGGGAGAAATGAACTACAGAGAAAAGGTGAGGCTTATCTAGATTCCTACTTTGAAAACCTGTCTATGGATAGAAAACGCTAATTTCTTTAAATTACAACAATTTTCTACTGTTGTTGTTTTGGGTTGGATAATGAATACATTAAGGCATACATGTTGCAGTCTCATTAGAATAAACTTTGGTCATTTGTTTCTTATATTACCCAATACTACTCTAAAAAGTGAAATATGTGATGGATCTCAGAAATTTTTTATTTTAAAAGAACTTTTATATAACGATATATGTTATAGTATTTTTTAAGCAATTAACTGGCAAATCCTACCTCAGCTAGCCCAAAAATTTATGATTAAAGTGGTGCTCAGGGTAGTTTTAATGATAGTTAAAATGTTTCAGGAAAGAAAAGGAAACGGGCTAATTCCTATAAAATTTTTGAGTAATCTTAAAATTCTAAGCTTTTCTAGACATTACAGATCTACTAACATTAAATCTACTAATATTCACTTTAAAGTTTGTCTCTAGAATGTTTTTAGTTAAAAAGATTGCATAGTCTTTAAAGCTAAAATATATGTTATTGATGTCAAAAGCATTGGCTATTCAAAGAAGGAAGCATAATTATACTAAATTAACTGATCCATTCAAGGGGAACGATGATTCTCAAAATTTCTAGTTATTCTTAAAGCAAGGGAATGTACATGCAAAAACATTTCCTTATATAATTTTAGATGACTTATTTATGAGCTACCAAAGTGATTATTGTATTATGGAAACCCAGAGGCACATTTAGCAAATCATTAATCAATTAAACATTTCTAGTAATATCTGTGAGCTAATTCTGACATTGTCTTAAAGCAAAATATTAATTTTCTATTTATTTGGCTATTTTGGCTATGGTAGAATGGAATAAGCACATTTCAACAACTAAAAATATGCTAAAATGCATTTTTAAAAAGACTTTATATATTCAAAACCGTCATATTCCAGTACTACAGAAACTGGAGCAAAGCTGACCTGTGAAGAGTGGTCGATGACTTATCTCTCTGACTGACAGTGTGGCTCAGGGCAGCTGTTACCATGACGTACCAGACACACGATGAGCCCATTGCATGGCCGGATGGACTTCCTGCAAAAACAAAATGTCGATCCATTGGAATGGTAGTTAATAGAGTACCAGTATCAGAAACGGACAGTAAAATAGCATATTAGCCATGAAAATTATAAATAAAGAACTCAGAAAAAACCACAGGGCACAGACTATATGTTTTGTTTAGACATAGGTAGAAATAAAGAAAATTGAGTCAAATAGAGCCTGAAAACATTATTTCAAAAATTTTCTTCTAGATTTTTCAAGTTCATCAAATTCCAGAAATTAAAATGTTCAAAGCTAATTAAGAACTCAGGGTGTTGCACCAAAATCTGCCACATCCCTACTCATTCTTCATATCTAATTGTTTTTATTTTTTTTATTTTATTTTTTTAAGCATTTTTTTAAACCTCTTTTATTTAGTTAGTTATTTTTCGTATGTGAGGAAGATCAGCCCTGAGCTAACATCCATGCCAATCCTCCTCTTTTTGCTGAGGAAGACCAGCTCTGAGCTAACATCTATTGCCAATCCTCCTCCTTGTTTTCCTCCCCAAAGCCCCAGTAGACAGTTGTACGTCATAGTTGCACATCCCTCTAGCTGCTGTATGTGGGACGCGGCCTCAGCATGGCGGGAGAAGCGATGCGTCGGTGCACGCCCGGGATCCGAACCCGGGCTGCCAGCAGCGGAGCGCGCGCACCCAACCGCCAAGCCATGGGGCCGGCCCTCTAATTGTTTTTAATTGATGAGAAAATTAAAGTACTTGTACTGGATCTTGAATCAGTTTATTTTCTTTGGGCTGAAAAGTCAAACATCTACAGGATATCATTACTATGTCTGATTTACCAGTTGACTACTAGGTACTAGCAGCTACCTCTATGCCTATCTTGTAGCCGGCCGCTGCAATGGGAGTCTTTGCTATGAAATGGACAAAGAGAAGATGGAAAGGGGGCATCAATCCTGGGAGAAGAAGCCTGTAGACATGTAGCTTTTCTCTTCTCAGAATGTCTTTCCCATGCTGCTTGATTTTTTTACCATTTTACTTTGATCTTCTCCCAGAGTTTTCACCAAGTGGAGATTCATTCAGGTTAATTATCAGTCTCTTTTTGAACAACACTAAGTTAAAGACAAATCTATTTCTTATAGATCTGTTTCTTTCAAATCTATTTCTAATGTGGGGATGTTCAGGACCCTTTATATGCTTAAGTGAGTTGTAAATTTCCAAGGGGTGGATATAGAATGCAATATGTCTTTTTTCTTTCTCTTTTTTTTTCAGACAATGCTTCATAAGATAGAATACATGCTGGGAAATGCTGGGATAGACCAAAGCAGCGTTTCGGTTGTCTCAAAGGTTATCCATCCATCCACCACTCCATCCATCCATCCATCCAACTATCCATCCATCCATCCATCCATCCATCCATCCATCCATCCATCCATCACACACTGGTCTCACAAAGATAAAATACACACCATCCCTGACCTGATGGAACCCACAGTCTATCGGAGGAGCCAGATATATAAAAAATTAAGTCTAGTACAGTGTGATAAGTAATACAACAGATGTATGTGTACTTTTATGGGAGCAAAAAAAAAGATTTTCAGAAAATTCATTAGGAACTTACACATTCACTATATCAGGGTTAGTTTCAGGATGTCAGATGGGAAGAATTTTATGCTATGTAACAAATTATGGTGAGGTACAATATAACACAGTCTTATAAATTACAATAACATGTAATTTTCCTTTATATATATATATGTATTTCAAAACACTTTCAAAATTTTCCTTTATATATATATTTCAATAAACTCAACTTCTGTAGTAAAGATTTTACACTTGTACAGAATCTTACTTATAATAAAAAGGGAAATGGTCCAAGAAAACCACTTACATACTACATCTGTGAGAGAAAAAAAGAAATTTTAAAGAAATCAGTCTAAGATTAGAGATAATCTTTACTGGAATTAGTAAAACTGGGACGTTCTTACCTTTCTTACAGAAATCTTGTCTGTTCTTCCCTGATTCATGAGATTCTCAGAAGACCGTTAGTAACTTTGAAAGTTGCTCAGCAGCAGATAAATCAACACTTCTAGGATTTTAATTTGGGAATTTGTTCTAGTTGTTTTTTGTTTGTTTTAGTATCAAATCATTACACTCTTCCAAAAAATAAATGCCAAATATAAAATCATTTGGGTAATATTCTCGTAATTTACTCTTTTACAAATAACAAAATGAAATTAGATTATTCATAAAACTTCTTTCTTTTATCATTAGCAATTTTTATGCTTATGAACTTTTAGCATCCTCACCCATGACATTTTCTTTAATACCCTATATAATATCATACAGTTATTAGATGATAGTCATACATAACGTCTCTCTGATGGAATATCTTTAGTCACTTGAGGCTGCTGTAGTTGCTTACCTGGACCTGTTTCGCATGTAGTGGGGAACTGTTCAAGGCATGGATTTGAGTGATTTGGGTAAATCTGAGTTTCTTGGACCCACCAGTAGGGCCGATGACCAAATAATATCCTGTATTTAAGGAAATATAAATACGCATATATATTTAAATACATGACTATTACTGAATTAGAGACTAGCTATTCTCTTCTATAAAAATGACTCAAGCAGGGGGTTGATGGAGAAATCTCATGATTAACAGACTTTGAAAGAACTTGGATTCAGTTCTGTCTCTCATTATAGAGAATGACACAGTCATTTGGAGTTTGGGCATCCTAGTTTCCAAAAAAACCAGGGCTTGTTTCCTTGCAGGACAAGTCCTGTGGATGCTTTGGTACTTAAATCGGGAGTATCAAAGTGGTCCCTGGAATCATCGACCTGTTCATTATGGTGCTGCTCATTTAACTAACTTCTTGGTTAATCACAGCATATGTGTTACAGGGTTTTGGAATTTTACTTCTAAGTCAGATAAAGTATACATTTCTATGCTTTTTGTAAGTTCTATTTATGAATCGGTGTTTCAAGTTAGCTGGTATGTTTGAAAGATTTTCCAGGTAAAACAACACACATTTGAAATGTGATCATTAAGCCAAATCTACAAATTTAAGAATAAGCTTTAGGAAAAATGAAACAAAACAGAAGTCTTACCATTTAAAAATAAGATTGAACCAATCCCCAATGACTGCTACCCATATCATCTTGGTTCCAACTCTCTGATTAACTTGAAACCAAAGTGGAAAATAAATAGAAAAGATATTCCGGGGGTCTCCAACACTGGACATAAAATTTAGAAAATTGTAGTAAGCCCGGTAATCCTTCTGCAAATGCTGAATCACGAGCACTCCATTCCTATGAAGGAAATCCATCCTGAAAGAGAGGCAATTTTAGACACGGAGCAATTGGAGCTGAAGTGCTCTAGTCCGTTTTTATACGGTACCCTCGTGGCATGTCCAGCCATTACTGCAACATGTGATGCTGACCATCTGTGGAGAGGGCACATCGGCCCTCCTCTGCTCAAAAGCTCATCTGTTTATGATTTTAATTGGTGCCAAAGAGGTGAAGTACATGCTAATTTGTGGCAAGTCGAGGGAAAATTTGGGTAGAGACACAATGAGTTTCTTATGCAACCTCCCTTTTGTGTGAACAGTTGGATCATGTTTGCTTGAAATTTTTTGCACAGTTCATTTCCTTCAAGGGCAGAGACATTAGCAATTTCTCTGCTTGGCTAGAAGACTACACAAATAATTACTGCATGTCAAATAGCCCTTAAAGCCATGCATTTTAATTTAAAATAGACTGTGGCTCTTTGACTATTTTATTGAGTCTGAGGAAAACAGATAAGTAAATATCTGGGCATGAAAAATTTATATGATATGACATTATTTTCTGATAGCAGACTTTTAAATAAAAAATTTTTTGATATTTCTTTGTTAGCAAAGAGAATGATATGATATGTATGGAACAGAGAAGGAAATACATGGAATATGTGAAATCTGGAAGGAAATGTGTTGCTTTTTGACTACAAGGCAAGAAAGCAGAGATGGAGGTCACTTGGACAATAGAACAGTGTTAGGACTGAATCATATTTTTACTGAGTAGAGAATACAATTGAGAGCACTGGGGAGTTGCTCATGTGACAGAAAGAGAGGAATAGACTTCAAAGGGCTTTTGACCAATCAGGAAAATGGTTTATTGAAAACAGAGTGTTCAGTAGAAGGACATGGGAAGCACCAAAACAAACGTGTAGATTGGGAATAAACAGAAGGGCAGCTCAAAGATACCTATGGATCTAAGTCAGAAGTGAGATGCTGGATTTAGAGAGCTAAATCATATCTACGAGGATTGGAGGGTTCCTATGAAAACGCTTAAGCCCCACCAGGTGGTGGAGGGTGGAGGTAGGTAACCTTACTTGTTATCGCACCATTCATAGTTGTCTTTGCTAATCATAGCCTCCTTCATAGGAACCTTCTTCACCAGCTGTGAATATCACTTTGAATTTCTCTTGGAGTCCTGCCCCATCATTTAACAGCACTTTGTTATGGGGATCCAGTGTCTATGGGTACCTTCCCAGCCTCTTTTGCCTCCTCTGGAAGAAATGTTTTGACTGACCATTAAAAGTTTTTGAGGTGCTTATTTTAAAATGGCATGCCTTTGTCCTATCCTAGGCCAATTAAATTTCTGGTGATGGGACCCAGGCATTGGTATTTTAAAAATATTTTCCAAGTGACTCCACTATGCAGTCGGGGTTGAGAATTATTGTGATAAAGCAATTCATATATTACCTGTTCTTTCAGCCTTAAGCCCCTCCCCCAGCCAAAAGTCAACCTTGAAGAAGTTTAATACATTTAAATATGTAAGTTATTGATGTAACTGGATTTTCCTGCTAAATTCGATTTTTGCACTAATGATTTATCTTGTTGTCAAGACTTCAGAGTATCTATCTCTAGAATTAAAGAAAACTCTAATCTAATGAGAAATTATACAGGTGGTGACAGTTTGTATATGAACTTGACTGTGGGCCAGGAGAGGTGAAGCAATGGAGACAATTGAAGTGCATTCCTCATAAAACAGGGCATGCTGATGGCAGCTTTCCTCACTGAGTTTTTTGTGATGCTCACCTGCAAGATGAATAAAATACAACCTGGTTTCTGTGGATGAGAACTCTGGTTTGACAGTCACAAAGTGGGATCACAAACGACACTAGGTCATTTTTCAGAAAGTGACTTTTAAATGGCTACTAGGAAACAAATATTAATCTCTGTCCAAGATGAGAGCCTTACCAATCTCCTTTACCATTCTTATCTTTTCAATAGGAGAACCAGGAAGTAGTCAGCCAGCACTGGCTCTCCCATGGTTTGCTCTGCCTCCAGGCAGCCCATGAATTACACCCAACCTTGGTTCTCCCACTAGTGTGCTAATCTGATCCGAATGACGTATGCGTTGGGGTAAAATTAATTGTGCTGAAATCTCAGTTGTGCTTTAGAATGCCTCGCATTTATGCTTTTCCCATTATTTACCTTTAAAAATACTCTATCTTGTTATCCAATTTTAACTTCACAGTGGTCCAGTAATCTTCGTTTTAGTGATGAAGGAATGTCCGGGTAACCCGTCCTAGGTTATTTCTTTGGTGTGGAAGCCCTGTTGGGAGACTAAATTTTATTTCCAGAGCAATGCTTCTTCTTAGTCTAGGCTGTGTCCAGGTTGCTCAAGGCCAACATTGGTGAGATTTAAAACAGTTGCAAAATGAATAAAAGCTGATGCTATTATCAGTTTGTTTCAAATGCATTTAACTACCCAGATCAGAATTGGAATTCACCTGTGTCATCATTGCAACTGTAAAGCTTTTTTGTGTAGTCCTGACAGACAAGTGGTTGACACAGAAGCATATCTGCCCAGCTGCCAGATCACTAGGAGAAGTTCACAGATACAGTCACCACTTTGAATTCTGTTGAATGGCTATTCTGTCATTTGACAGCAGAGACACAGTTGTTATGGGGGTTCAGTGACTACTGTTACCTTCCCAGTCACTAACGTCTTCCCTGGAGGAAATATCAAGTGTCACTAAGATGGGCACCTCGGGGCCGGCCCTGTGGCTTAGCGGTTAAGTGCGTGCGCTCCACTGCTGGCGGCCGGGTTCGGATCCTGGGCGTGCACCGGCGCACCGCTTCTCCGGCCATGCTGAGGCCGCGTCCCACATAGAGCAACTAGAAGGATGTGCAGCTATGACATACAACTATCTAGTGGGGCTTTGGGGGAAAAAA